AAGGAAGTTTGTGCTAGTTGTACCGCCTGCTGTGGCTGATCCTCTCTTTGGTTTCTGCCCCTTATGTGCAACAGATCGTTTGACAGGAACACTAGTTTTATGAAATACTGTTGCGGACTGTGTTGTGCCTGACCTCCGGGAGTTAGCTTGTGATTTGTTGTGTAAAACCTTCGATGAAAATGTACTAGCTGGGGTAACTTTAGTTTGTATTCCAACAATGCTATCGACAGCAGCACTTTGAGACTGATGGGGAGACATATAACAGTAAGAATCTTCACTAATCATACTCTGTGATGGAGAAGATTCATATGCTGAATGAACTTCATCTGTTTCTGAATCAGGCAGCACACTGGTGACTGTGCGCTTGATCTGCCCAGACGTAGTTTTGATGGTCTTTATTCTGACCCTGGGTATGGCAGGGGGTGACCCAGATGCCACTGCAGGGGATGCTTTGCCACTACTATCACTGCAGATGCTTGCAGGGCTATCGGAGGGTTTCATTAACCGTTTCACAGCTTCAAGTGGACTTCTGGGGCTTCGTGGGGATATAGGCACGTTGGGGTTTGTTTGCGTGCAGTCATTCTGAACTGCTGAGGACTCTCTGGGGTCTTTTCTAGCATTCAGAGCCACCAGAGCCTCAAGACAAGAGGATAATTTAGATGTCTGAGATTTTAAATATGGATAATGAGAATTAATATCTGTTGAAGTTCCTGAATTGCAGTTGTTCTCAATAATGTTCTGGCTATCACTGGGTGGGGGAAGTGCACTGTGTATTCTAGGTGTTGTATCCTTTTCGTTGCTGACACAGATGTCAGAGGGCTCCTCACTTCTAATACTTTCTACTCTGCTGCTCTGAGTGTTCTTGGGAATATCAGAGTCCTTTGGACAATCATCAAACATGCTGAAGTCCACCTTTTTTTGATTCTCTGGGACTGAAGGCTCCAACAGAACTGAAGCATCTGGGAAACAGGGTTTCTCTTTTGGATGCATTTCATCTCTACTACACTGAGTGTCTTCAGACTCGGGACTGGAGATGGGACTAAAATGAGAAAGTGACTGTGAAAATATTGGTGTTCCATCAGGTTTGTGCTGAATAGGTGCATTTCCAAGAAGCTCTCTTGAACCATCCCCGTTCAAAGCAGAGACAAATGTTTTGGAAAAGCCAGTGTTAGTTGTCTCAACAGTGTCAATGGAGGTCTCTTGTCCCCTGAATCCATTTTGCAATGCTGGTCCAAAACCTTCCAGTGACTCCTGGCGACATGTGTTTTTCACAATAACACTTACAGCAGGAATATCTGTTGTTGTGTCAGCTTGGTTACTCAGTAAGCTATCATCCAGACATATCCCTGTGTGTTTCAGCTGACTTTCTGTCTCCTCGTGACTCCCCTGGATGGGTTCTTTGGCATCCAACCCTGTGGCATCTGGGATGTCAAAGGCAGCCAGAAGATCATCAAAATCTGGGGTTTTCATGTCACCCATGGCTGTACAGGCTCATAAACCTACACAAACACATACAGAATTGGCTTAATAAGTTATCTTTCGATTTACACAGTGGGCACTGCAGGCAGAGCTTTAAGGAAGTGCTGTCAGCACAAGACAGCTGCTTTACAATCTGACTAATAACTGTGGTAATATCCTCTATGCTAACGTTACCTTTAGCTAGCAAGCTAAACGTTAACAAGGTCTGCTTGCCTTCGTCTATACAGCCTCTCTTTTGTACAAAGGCAAGCATTAACACACACATTAATAAGCAAATAAACATTAAATACAGCCTACTATGCTCCTAGCGTTGCCAAATATAATCTCCTTCATATGCTGACCTACATTTAAGTTGTTTTTGCTGTTAGCGCAGCTAACACTGAAGCCTGCTAACAAGATACAGTCAGCTAGCTACACAACGGAGCCAATACAGCATGCTAGCATCTAGCTTAGCAACATGCTATCGCGCAAATCCTTCAGCCAAGCTAGTAAACTCATCACTTATCGATGCACATGTGCGCTTACCATCTGATCCAGTTATGTTTAACCGCTCTAGTAAATTAGCTACACAGCCAGTTAACTGTGGGCGCGAACTGAGTGTGAATTGGGAAGGGGTTGGGCTGTTGCGGGGTTTCGTAGCTAGGCTACAAGCTACTAGCGCTCGTTTTCCATTTCCTCTTCGTGGGTGATTCAAGCCCTCGACGCCGTCTTACAGACGAGAGGAGGCGCCGTAAACAGCTTGAAGGTACATGTCCACCCAAAGAGACAAAGGAATGCGATGTGTTATGTTCAGTGGCTCGGCTGCTACACTACACACACATATTGGTGTGTGTGGTAAGTAAACAGAGGTAGGTAATGATCATCAAATGTGGAAACATATGCATGACAGGAAAGATGCCATGGGCCATGCCAGCAACCTGAGGGCCCCCAGGGGGTAAAATGTATTAGGGGCCCCTAAGTCACCACCAACACTGCCTGTTCAAGGGCCACTGTTCAGCATTGTCTACTCCTGCTTGTAACCTTGCTTTCAGTGATGCTCAGGTTTTGTTGGAAATGCCAAACTTAATTTCTGAAGTAATTTATTTTTGAACTTCCAATGAGTTGGGAGACTTGCACAAGAACTGCAAAAGTACTGAAGCAACAAAGGCTGCAAAATTCTGACTTTAAGTCCCTAGGTCAAGCTCCAGAAACAGTGGATCATACAGTTTCATCATGCAACTCTATAGCATCTTTCATTTGACCCACACTGCCACCTTAAGTCCAAAAGAAATGAGATGGGGAAGATATAAAGAACTTGTAAGGCTGGAGATATTGTATACTTGCTTTTTACTATGTGTGTGTGTGTGTGTGTGTGTGCGCATGATGGCTGCCTCTTTGGCTTAAAGGTGCTGATAGTGTTTTGTTGAACCTTTCTCCCAATTTATTATTAGGATGTCAATAAAATAAACAAGATATCAACTCCACTGTTTGATCTGGCCAGCAGCCTTGATCTGCTATGTATCACACGGTTTTAAGGAAATAGATAAGGTATTGTTTAACTGTTTGTTTTTAATATATACACCGAGAATTTCCAGGCAAGCAGTGTTGACTGAGTCGATTTCACTTGAATGAAATAAAGTAATGTCAAACTGAATGGAGGCCTAGAGGTAGTATAAATGAAACTGGTACAATATTTACCAGCTTTCCATCACGTGAAACTTCCAAACACAGATAAACAGGGGGCTGGCATTAAACTGGAACTTGCCCCAGATTCCCATTATGTGTCTGTGATCTGATGCGGCCTGCCCAGTAGTACTGGTCTCATTTGTGGAGGAGGGGCAGGTCCAGGTTTCAGGTTCTCTGGAAGTTCCACAACGGAGGGAGTTTCTGATTTGGAAAAGTTTTTGATATCCTGTAAGACAAATTTGAGGGTAATATTATTCAATATCATTCTTTCCAGTTAGTCAGGCTGTAAAGTGATGACACAAATTCCTGTTAAGGTTACAGACAGGCCTGCAGCACCTTTGGGATAAGATTTAAAAAAAGAAAAAGACCAAAGCGTCAGTAACTTAATACAAGCAATGATGTAACAGGATGTAACAGCTATGTCAACTTACAGCAAGGCAACAAAGTCAATTTAGGAGGCTATTTATTGTATGTATAGTATTTTAATTTGTTAGTGAATAAAGAAGGGGGCTATGGGAGCAACGCTAAATGTGAGATATTGCATGAATTCAGTGTAATATTGCATAAATGAGGGATTTTGTATTGTACGCATTACAATGATGAGAGTTACGTCAGTCACAGCTTTGACTATTTCTAAATATCATCTAAATTGTGAAACTGAGTCGATTGGAAAAAATGTGATGTAAAGTGAATGTTGTGGGTTATTAAACCAAACCATTTAATGTTAAGCTACAACGTCTGTTATGAGGTTATTAACCTTTTGATAATGAATTTCAAGGCTTTCTGAAAACTGAAAGCTGTACTTTTAAAAAATAATGAATGTTTATTGTATCCATCAAGACAGACTGAGCCCCCACTGAGTGTTATGAACCATGGACAAACGCCATTTTATGAGGAATCAGATTATTTGTGTGTAACAAGATCACAATCAAACAGCAGCAAGTAGAACAAATAGCTGCCATTATATCCAATCACGAATCGTCACCCTGAAAGTAAAGTACAAATTGCACTGCAATATATTTAATGGCCCAGATAACAGCTTTACCTGTTTTGGAGATGACGTGATTCTACAGCGAATACTCAGTGTACTTATTCTTCAGAACAATCGTTTAAAGAGATTCTTATGTGACATTGTTGACTTTGATCCATAAAAGTAACTGTGTGTGTATCACAGTGCACATAGCATATAACTTCACATAGTTATAGTATCATCTTTCATAATGTGTGCTATGTTTTCTGAAATTACAAGATGACTAGTTCTATCTTAAAAATAAAGTTTAAAGTTAAAAATAAGTTTATTTACTGTTTAAAAATGTGAAGGAAAACTAACAGCATTTATAACTTATAGTATAATATACCTGAATGTATATCTGTAATAGAGTAAATTTAATATTGATATAAGGGGAAACTTATCGAATCTACCACAATCTAAGTATATGTGTAAGATGTTTAATATAGTTTTTGTGCACACACAGTAAATTATCTAATTTTAGCACATTAAAATTAGAAAATAAAAGGTGCTTTTGAGTCTTCATCCTCATGTTGTTGAGTCACACGCTTCTGAGAAACCTATTTTTAGAAACTCTTCTTTGAAAATAAGAGCTCAAAGCATGACTTTTTATGACTTACTTAGTTGCATTATTCCACTATGTTTTCCCCTGTATTGTCACATATCAGTGAATGTATATTATTATATCTGTCAACAAAAATTCACATCTTATCATCTGTTGCTCAAGGGATTTGGTGAACATGGTAAACTTCACGTCCAATCGAAGGTTGCTTCATAAGGTCTATTAAGTCATCTCTGTTGCATTATCACACTTATCTCACTTATGCTTACGTCCTGTATTTCCTGAAGCAGATCAGAGTGCTACGTAACCTGTCTGTTAATTAATGATAAGACGCTTCATAAAGGACAGAGTATTTTTGCCCGCAGTGATTTTTTACAGCACAGCACTTGGCAGTCGGGTTTAGGAGGACGCACAATGAGTAAGCCATTAGCTCTGCTTTTTCTTGAATAAAGCTGTTTGTTTTACAGTATTTTTGTACGCCATTCTTCACAAGCTAAGCCACGAGGACTCTTGTGTGGACTTATTTTAAGGTTCTTTTATCTCACAGTGTACATAGAAACTCAGCTTGTCACTTGTTTTGCATTCCTGGCTGTTGAAGTTGAAGCTGCTTTCCCAAAGGCTGCTGCACAGAAGTGAACAATGATTGTGTTTTTCAGCGGAAACCAACGGTATTCAGCTCAAAAACATAACCCATGCCAACGGAAATGGCGTGGACAACCAGGCTTTTGAAATCGAGGTATGTATTACATAGGCTATAATTTTTTAAGAAAATGGCACTTCACAATATTTATTTTTCTTTAAATTAAATGCCTTTATTTTCTTAGGAGGACAACATTTCTGATACAGGGAGTGTCAAAAGGCGGACTAAAAAGACTAAAAAAGGATTGGGATCATACATAAGGTGTGTCAGTTCAAGTGATTGCATTTTGGAAAACAAAAATAATAAATGTTTTATTGGGGGTGCAATATTCGGGGTGCAATCAGTATTAAACAGGTGCACCGTATTAAGCCTCTGCAACTTTGATTGAATTTCCGCTAGGCTATATGTAAATGTGCAGTACTGTATGTGCAGAATTAAAGTACATACAACAGAAAATCTGTGTAGTTTTATGTGCAACTGTGAAACTTTCTAATGTATTTAACACAAAAAACAGCTTTGGGGTAAATACACATTACTTGATATTTAATCTATAAGTATGTGGAAGACAATATTTTTGATTCACTCAAGTGAAGGATATTTCACATATTCAAAAGTGTATTTTGTACACAGTTTGACCTTACTTCTAATTTATCCTGTACTTCAGCCAAGTTTCCAAGCCGATTAATGCCACAGAGGATTACATCAAGGCTCACTCAAAAACCTTCAAATATGTTGTGCTGGGTATACTTGGAGCAGGTAATATTACAAGTCTGTTCAGTTGTGTTAAAATTTTATAAGCAGTAGCAGTTTATTGTCCTGCAGACTTTGACAAGACAATAATAATCACATGAACATGGACAATGATTTTTAATCAAACTTTTTCTGTTCTGTAGGTTATGTGGCGTACTTCATTGCAGCCTGTGTATTGGATTTCCAGAGAGCCACTGGTCTTGTAGTCCTAACCAGTTTGGCTGTCGTTGCTACATCCTATGAACTTTTGAAGGAATACAAGGGAGAAAGCATCAGTCGGTGTTTCAGACCGGCAGTTAGATGCTTTAAATCTAACTTGAAATGGATAAAATGGTGAGTAGATGTCTTTCATTCAGTTGCATTGTCCTCAGTATGATAAGCTACGCACAACGGAGTCTGTTAATGAGTGAAGGTGTGTTTTATTGTCTTTTTAGGGTTTTCATTTTAGCGGCTTTGGCCTTGTTTGTGGTGTGGCTTGTCTTGGACACGAGCAAGTATCCTCAGCAGCTTATCTCATTTGGAGGTGTGTGCATGTTCGTCGTGCTTATATTCCTCTTGTCAGCACACAGGACAGCGGTGAGTTTTGCACTTTAACAACTGACTCATCTCAAGGATGAATATTGACAGTGGTTTCGAAACATGCTTGGTCATTATCTCACAAGTTATCTCTGGTCTGTTTTGCTGAGACTTGTGTATCATTTGGCCTTGTGCCTCTATCATCTTAAGGTTTAGCAGAAGTGCTTCCCTGCAATAGCATACGCCTTTATGGAGACTCCCTGATAGTCTAACTATTTTCATTTTTAAACACACTTTTAGGTATCATGGAGGCCTGTGTTTTGGGGTCTTGGGATGCAGTTCTGTATTGGCCTTTTTGTTATAAGAACACAACCTGGACTCATAGCTTTCAAATGGCTCGGACAACAAGTGCAGGTATTACACTTGGATGTTATAATAAATAGATGAATAATAAATAGGCAGTAGGAATGTGTGTGACCTGAATATATGAATTATATGATACACTGCGATGATATTTACACAAGCTTAGACATAAGAGACATACCATTTAATACCTATTTGTTCATTATAAAATCAATTATTATTGCAAATTGCTGTGAAATGTGTGATCCATCATTTTTAACCAATCATCCTGAAACTCTTTGTTTGCGCAACAGACTTTACATGGCACACAGTGTTTCTTATCTACTAGGGCACAATATTCTTAGTGAATCATACATGCTTATCTTTAGAGCTACTTTATTATGCTGTTCACCCTCATCCAAGGGGTGAGTTATAACAGAATGTGTGCACGTGCATTTGGTCTGTTAATAACTTTTTAATGTAAAGTGAAGTATTATGAAGCTTTAATTCAATTTTTGTTCCTGTTCCTTCCTGTTGTAAAAATCTAAATAAATTTGTAATTGTGTCATAAATGTCATAAATGTATGGAATACGGAAACCAGTAATCATTTATAAATAATATAACATGGGTTATGCTTCCTCATTGTCCTATAATTACAGATATTCCTGAACTATACCAAAGAAGGGTCAATATTTGTTTTTGGGGATCTGCTAGCAGACATTTTTGCCTTTCAAGTAAGTGGATGAATGGATGTATTTGTTCTTAAATGTTGGCACTTAACCAAGATTATAAGTTATTAAAATTGAATGTGTTTAACTTCAGTTTTGATTTCTTCCTCAGGCTTTGCCCATTGTTGTGTTCTTCAGCAGTGTGATGTCGATTCTTTACTTTTTGGGGATTATGCAGTGGCTCATTCTGAAGGTAGAGAAAGGTTAAAACTTGTACCTTACAACATCATAGGTTCCTGTAGGTCTGTACGTGTATATTGCTTACTCCACTGCAGTGACAAGCTGCGACCAAGAGCCATGTGTTTTTGTCCATGCAGATCTCATGGGTTATGCAGATAACGATGGGAACCTCTCCCACAGAGACCTTGAGTGTGGCAGGCAATATATTTGTTGGGCAGGTATGTCTGGGCAAGGCGTCATGTCTTTGCAACTCTTTCTTTTCTTTGACATTACTACTGTGTCTACATTATTAAATGTAATGAGCTACAGTACTTACATTTTTAAATACATAACCTCTAACACTAACTGCTATAAAAAAAAAAGAACACTACATTTCTTCACCCTGCTTATTTACTTTTGCTCTATTTTTTCTGTGCATCAGACTGAGGCTCCGCTGCTGATTCGCCCGTATTTGAAAGACATGACAAAATCTGAGATCCATGCTGTTTTGACTGGTGGATTTGCCACAATTGCAGGCAGTGTCATGGGGGCATTCATCTCATTTGGGGTGAGATTAAGCTGTTTTTATACCACCACATAATCCATACAATGCTAATAAAACTAGATTGTTCTATCACACGTCAAATAAAAATAGATTCTGCTTAACCTATTATTGACCAACAACAGTAGTAACAATAGATACACAAAATTTGCTGTGGCTACACATGACAAAATAAATTTGAATTTCACATATTTAGCATGTTTTAATTGGCAGCCAAAGTTGTTTTTCTTTTAAAACAGAGAAAATCACAACAATGTATTTGACACATTAAATATCGGATTTACACAGGATCAAAGCAAAGCACATTATTGAAAATGTAAGTTGTTTTATATCCAGTGGTACCATATAGCCCTTTAGTTTTTGAGATAACCACATTTTATCCCAAAGAAATACTAATATCTCTTGGGTCTGCACAATGGCAATACTGGACCAAGAAAAAGCAATGATGAGATTATCATTTTGCTGCATGTCAAAAATGATGAAAATCTGAAAGTCCTAGTCTGTTCAAAAGGTGTTTTCCTTGAAAACAAAAACCCAGCTACTTGTGACTAACAACAAAAAAAAAGATGAAATGTGCACTGTGGCCATATACTTTGACCAATTAAAAAAATGTCAGTGGATTTGTGCTCAGCTCTGCTGGTACTTTAAGTGCTGTAAAGGATATTATTATAGAATTCCACTTTAGAAAAAAAAAAAAAACACATCTAAAAAGACAAATAACAACAATAACAATCAATATTGTGGTTGTTAAAGTAGGTAAAAAAAGGTTTATGTTTTCTTTCAAACGTTAGAAAATGTAGGTATGACTCTAACATCAATGTTGTGTTTTAACAGTATATTTGAATAATTTTATTTTATCTCAGAAAAAAGCTGCACATGCATGATATCTGTATGTTACAGCCACAAAATAAACATGTTGGCCTCACCAGTTGTTACCAGTAACATATAAAGCAAACACTGTAACCTGATAATTACTTTTAAAGCAAAATTATTTTATTTAGTAAAACTGCAATATTCATTTTGTGATGGTTTTGTTTAGTTAATTGTATTGTTTAAACAATAAGAAAGTCTTGAAATCATGCAGAATATCATATACTGTATCTGTTGTTGATTCTTGCAGTAACTCTACCACAGTGCCTTGAATTAAATGGCATTTCATTGTATTTTGCAGATTGATGCATCTTCCTTGATATCAGCCTCTGTGATGGCTGCACCTTGTGCCTTGGCCATCTCCAAACTATCTTACCCAGAGACAGAGGAGAGTCCCTTCAAGTCAGAGAAGAATGTTAAAGTGTCTTGTGGGTATGTATATCTGTCCCTTCATTTATTCTCTTCCCGTTCATGATTTTTCTACTTTTCTCCCCCAATGAAATTAACTCCTTTTGACTCCCTAGAGATGAACAGAACATTCTGGAGGCTGCTAGCAGTGGAGCATCTGCTTCAATCGGTCTTGTTGCTAACATCGCAGCAAATTTGATAGCCTTTCTTGCCATCCTCGAGTTCATAAATAGCGCTTTGCGTTGGCTTGGAAGTATGGTGGGATATCCTTTACTCACATTTCAGGTAAATTTGAGCAAAAGACTGATAGCTCAAATGTGACCTTTTGAGAATCAGAATTTTTGTTTTATTGTGTTCATTTTGCACAAACGTAAGATTAAAGGGGGTTATCCAAACATGGTGGTCAAATAATAAAAAGCTAATAAAAAGATCTATAATAAACATTTAAATAAATAATATTTATTTTGTTATGATATTTCAAAATGTAACTAATTCAGACATCCATATATTTATTAATGCAGCCATTTCACAGATTTTGCTTGCTTGTACTGTATATTTAGTGAGTCTCTCAGTATCCAAATAACCCTCTCTCTCTGTGTTCATAGCTGATTTGCTCTTACGTGTTCATGCCTGTGGCCTTTATGATGGGAGTACCATATGATGACAGTTTCATTGTGGCTGAACTAATTGGCACAAAGCTCTTCGTCAACGAGTTTGTGGCTTATGAGGAATTATCTAAACTGAAGGAAAACAGACGCAATGGAATTGAAGAATCGATATCTGTGCGTAAACTGGAGTTTGAATATTGTCACTGTGGGTGTGCTACAAGCATGAATTAGTATTTTGTGAGCACTGCAAAGAAACGAAATTTAAGGGAAACAATTTTAACGCAAAACAAAATTACATGATTTGGTTTTTTCCTGTTTCAGATTCGATCAGAAATAATAACCACTTATGCACTTTGTGGGTTTGCCAACTTCAGCTCGCTTGGTATTGTGATTGGAGGCCTTTGTGAGTATTTCATCATCCTATAGCCATGTTTAGTTCTGCCCCAGGATTCTCTCTCAGCAATGACATCTGACACAGTATTTTCTTTTCTTTTTCTCAAAGCCTCCATATGCCCATCCAGAAGAGCAGATATCTCATCTCTGGTGTTGAGAGCTATGCTCACTGGGACATGTGTATCTCTAGTCAATGCTTGCATTGCAGGTAAGAGCTTTTGAATTAAACTGGAAGAGCACTTTAGCTTGTTTCCTGTTGTACTGTACCTGAGTAGCTTTTTCACTTTTATTTTTCAGGGATACTCTATGTTTCTCCAATTGACTGTGTGAACCTGTTCAACGTATCTGCCTTCAATGCCACAGATGTAAATATACAATCTTGCTGTGAAGACCTCTTTAAAAAGTAAGCATGCACATTTTAATTCTAAAGATATTTTTTGGTGGGTGGCTTAAAATGTTAGGAAAAACATCAGTGACTCACAGGGTTATTAGATACTTGAATTTAACTTCCACTCTGTTCACTTAGGCAGTATCTGATATGGGGTTTTTGGACTTACATCTCAAATTGATTCTTTTGCAGCACTGTAAACAATGGGACCGTCTCATTTGAAGGACTGTGGAGCACAGTAGAAAATGCCACTGTGTTTTTCTCTAAATGCTGTCAGTGTTGTGATCTCTCTGCTGTGGACGTTTGTAAGTAGAGGAGAAAAATACATGCTGCAGTGTCTGTTTTTATGCTGTACTTACAGTAATTTTTCTCTCTGTGTTTTTATATTTTTGTCATAGCTCATGTAAAAATGTAAAGTCTATATACATACTATGTTTTAAAGATGAATGTAACTTTCATGTATTATATTGTAAATTAATTCAGATATTGGTTTGTATTTAAATCCAAGGATTAAAAGGAAACAGCTTCAGAAAAATACCTCAGGAAATATTCAGGCATCAACAGTTTCATGAATGTCAATATTTAAAATTAAATTGAGTAACTCAGTAATTTCATAATGTTATTGATAATTATACACACATACTGTCATACTTTATGAAAAAATAAAAACCTATGAAAACGTGAACTATGCTTGGACACAAATGTTTTACATATTTATTTTTTAAAAATTAGCTGACATAATGTGACATAACAACGACAGCACACATTGTTAACACACATTTATTCTTTCTTAATTAGTCATTCATTTACTCACTCGCACACTCACCCACGCATTTTACATTTTTCTTCACACGACTTTAGGTATTTAGTCCTTTGACTTTATGTACACATAAATACAACCATTTGTTTGTCGTCTGCTGATAAAAATTTTAACCTCATTGCAACATGTTTTTATAGAATTAGGGTTTTCTGTGTTAAACAATCATGCAATTAACTAACGGCATCTGAAGTATTTGGACTCATTTGAAGACTCTCACTGATCATTAACCAATAATACATTTCAGAATTTCCGAGAGATTTCAGTCAGTTCTGTATTAATTGTAAAAGATAAGTGACTCCAGTTAAAATTTAACCATGAATACCTGTGCACACTCATGAGATAACAGACAGTTTTCATTCTTACTCCTTAAGTCCATGCTGGCTTTGTAACCTAAAAAAAAGAATAGAACAAATAATAATAGAACAAAAAGAAAAGGCAATACTTAAGATTGGTATGGTTTCCTTCTGACCAACTGCACACAAGCAAAACTCACCACTCTCTTTTTCAGCAAAATGTGACTTGCCATAAAACTTGCAAGGCAAGGAGCCTTTCTTAATGATCAATAGGCTTCTGAAAGCTCTGAGTTTGCTCTTTTGTTTATTTTGTTCAGTGTGCCATTATCCCACAGTACATAGGTCAGGTCAAAATAACTATCTGGAACTCAATTAGCAGCTTTCCTTTCTACTCCTGTGTTTGCCATGTCAATGAGTGTGAGCATACCATAATTAAAGAGTTTACTGGTAAGCCCATTAGTGCTCATTGTTTTGACAATATCATTCAACAGCATATATTCTAAAATACTGTAAGAGGACTGATTAAAGACACAGACACAACAGATACAAAGAGCTCAAAAACAACTCAAAAGTAATGCCAAAAACAAGGTGCACGCAAACATCTTTGACCTAAAAATGGTGCTGTAATTCAACAGCGTGAGCAGTTCAAATGCCAACCATAAATAACATCTCCAAAATAAACTTTATGTCCTACACATACTGTACAACACAGATAAACATGCAGCATCTACTATGAATACATTACCTCAACCCCCTGTGTGGCTGTGGGTTTATTCTCCATAATGCATTAACTCAAACCACTAAATTGTCGACATTTGTTAAAAGAAAAGAGCAAAACTGTATGGTTCAGTGATGATGAATTTGAGTTGACAAATATTGCTTGCAGAGTTGTTTGTCCACTCATAGAGCTGATAAGACTCTGAGGTAAGTGTTTCAAACCATTTAATAGTGGTATGTCACCTGTTATGTGGCCCAGTTTTAGCTTTTTTTTCATACTGTTAAAGTAAAAACACAGATTTTGTTGTTTGGTGTCAATGAGATATAAGGTCAAAACCCTTGTACCCATTGCTCCAAATAGTCTCATAAACCTTTTAACTACAGGAAATAGCTGGACGATTGATGGCACCGTAACTGTAATGGCAACTGAGTTCACAGTAATTCTTTATGACAAGACAGGTCAACACACTATTCATTTTCTTATAATCTTACTCTTCAAGTCCTTGCTGGCTTTGGTAACTGGAAAGAAACAGGTAATACTAAACCATTAAAAGTAATAAAATCTTGCTTGACACAAAAGAGCTTCTTTTCCTACCTCATTTCAAGAACGTCAACAATTTCTGCAGGCTTGGGTTTGGCACCTGATTTATTGTCCTCTGTCTCCTGCACTTTTCTAGTTACCTTTGGGCTAGAATTTGCCTTTCTTAACATCTGAGGGCTTTGTCCTTTCCGCTGCAGCTTTGGGCTGTTAGAGCCCAACTTGCGGTTGAGCAGGGGGCTCCTAGAGCCCTTCATCTTGGTGGGCTGCAGACTATCCATAGTCTTAAGTGGTTGTAGGCCAAGAAGTCCACAGTAGTAGTTGCACTGATGGTGTGTCAGGAACTGTTCAAATACTTCAGGAGAACCACGGTCTGTTAGTCCTTGGTATCTAAAAAACAAGGGACAACTTTTCATACCAACTATTCTAATAGAAAACAATAACAGTTGCATGTATTGATATAGATACAAACCCTTTTGACTTGGTCACAACTTGAACATTTGTAATCTTCGTTTCAACACCTGTAAAAATAGATCACAGAAGATTAGTAATATGATCAATACCACAAATAGATAAATGACCGCTTTAGGGTGTCTTACCCTCCAGCCGAGTGACCAGCAAATTGCCGTGCGTCCACTGATGGATCCAGTGCTGGAAGGTGCTGCATTTCTGCTCCACCTCAGAACCAGTTCGTGTAATTAGCCTGCCTTTAGGATCCATCATACAATACTTGAGAAAGACACCCTTGATATCAGCCTCCACTGTGGCATATGGCACAGAGTTTGCAGGCCGGTACATCAGATACTGAGGAGTCACTCTGTGGGCAACACAAAAATATAGTGAGTTTATGGCAAGCAGTGTTGTACATTTTAACAGGAATCAATTATCAGATCTACTGTGTAATAAGGGTGGCACTTACTCTAGTGAAAAGCCAAAGTTCTCATTAACTCTTGCTTCAGCAGCAAAGATTTTACAGTATTCTCGAATCATGTTTTGGACTTTGCATTCCTGGCAACACAAAGAATTTAATTGAGCATATTAGTGTACTGCAGTTAATCCCTGGGAATTTATTGGTAGCAACTGACCAAATAGCAGACAATAAATCCATTACTTACGTGTTTAGTAATCTCTAGATTCCTTTCTGCAAGGTTGCTCTCCTGTTTGGTCCCGTAGGCAATGGGGTTTTGAATTTTGATGATGCAGGCGCTTCCAGACTCAAAGACAGGATCCAGTCCATAAATGACCTTCACTCTGCTGGCTTTGTGAGCACAGCCCTCCCCGATGTTCGCCGTCTCGGTCATGATGCGGCCAAAGTACCTGTCACCCCAGGTGCCACAGTTGGCCAGGCCTTTGGTGAACTGCAGTGGGGTCATCTCGATCTCCTCTCCAACTAAAGGAAAAACACAACCCAATATTTACAATGAGCAGCAATTTACTGACAATGTGTAAAAAAAAGAATAGAACAAATAATAATAGAACAAATATTTATGAGTGAAATATTTACCTTCCAAATCATCTCTTAATAATATCTCAGACAGAACTGTAAAATAGAAAGAAACACTCATAAAAACACTACTGATACTATAAGATTCAAATTTCACACTGATTTCTCCAGGCATACTGTATCTTACTGTCTACACTGAGCAGGAAGTCAGTGGTGTCAGTCCCATATTCATTATTGATGGAACAGCCATATACCCCACAGTCTTGGCTGGATGCTAGGACAATAGCCAGAGCTACTTGGCTTTCATCTCCTCCACTTGAGGATAAGGAAGGGGAAAAACACATAATCATGAATATGTCAAGTTGATTGGCTCAGAGTTATACCTAACTTCAAAGATTCAACAAGATTCAACAACAACCCACAAGGTGTCACTGTGAGGCAGAAGGTCACACTGTGTGGCAGTCTGCTGACACAGCAGCCAATAGCACATATATAGGCTTTTAATGCTCCCTGGAGATGGGAAAAATATTGTGTCAAGTTACAGTTTCTGTGTCTAGCCAGAGATTCACCTCTCTGTGTCACAGCTGTGGGGTTCACAGTCACATGAGTGCGACGTCTCTGCAGTGAGAATATGAGAATGACAGAAGGCCATGGGATGCACTCTGAGGCCCCAAAAAATCTTGTTCATCCTTGTAGAATTATGGTTTCATATTTGGAACCTGTCCATTTTTATGCTGGGTGGAAATCCTCAAAATAATAGCAGTGAAAAAGGTGACAAGTAATAATGTTAATACAAACTGAATACCAGGTGATTTTGCTGTTGATTTGTGTTACAGGTGGTTAGAGTAGTGTTTGTGACATTGTAAGACAAGAAGGGGATTTACCTTCTCTTCACCTCTAGTATTTCCTCCTCATCTCTGAACCACTTAACGGTGGAGTCACTAAGCACATTGAAGAACTGGCACCAGAGCTTCAGGTGTCCGGAGGCATCCGGGAATGGCTCTCCCCTGATTTTGCGGATGACCTGTGGAGCTGGTAGTACATGAGAGACAGAAGGGGTGCCCGACAGGGGGGCTAAAGTAAATATATACTGTACTGGAGAGTGGAGACTTTCTAATGTTTCCACTTCCTCGAGCACCGGTGTACTGATTCGACTCCTGCTGACAAACAGCAAAGTATTTCACAGAACCACTATTGTGATATTGTGATATTTAAACAAACACATTGATACAGCCTTAAAGGGAAACATGCAACTTGTTCCCACAACATAATATCTTTACAAGATTTTAAAAAATCCTAAGGAATGAATGATTGATTCTTACCTTTCAAAGGGTCTAGCTTCTTTTCAGCAGGTTTCTCCTCTCGTTTGGTGCTGACTGGCTCTTCTGCGGGAGTCTCCTCCACGACTTTTGGCACCTCCAAGGTGACCTTTCTGCGGCTCAGCAGGGGAGAGCGCCTTTCCATTGGTGGAGTATTTTGTCCTGTGGAAGCTTGTAGTAATGCTGCTCTGCGAGCCTGGCTGGGCGACATGTAGGGGCTCTCCTTCTTAACTTGAGTATCTAGCGCACCAACCACTGCTCCCTCTCCATCTTCTTTAGGTTTTGGGATGAAGATTTTGCGACGAGCTCCGGAGGCCAACTCCTCAGGTGTGGCAGAGCGTATGAGGGACAGACTGTCTCTGCGTTTCAGCCGAGGACTGCTTTCACAGGAGAGGGATGATGTTGGTGTTGAGCCTCCACTCAGATCTTCGTCTGCTTTGTCACTCTGACGATCACCCACAGTGATTACAGGGATAGCCGTCACAGCCTCATTGTCTGAGTCTGGAGGAGCTTTGGACATGAATTTCCGGAGACTGGCTGGACTCAATGATGGATGTGTTGGGGGTTTAGAGGACAGTCTCTCGACAGACGATCTGTTTCTTTGGAGCTCCTCAACAGAGACAGAACTCTCTGTTTTGGCCTCTTTAAGGGGTCTTGTCTTCAAGATTTCAGGGACAATGTTGTCTTCTGTTGTTTTACTGGATGATGGCACATTGTTACCAACGTTTGGTGTTAGAGCTTCATATAGCATTGAGAGACTGTTCTCTTTTACACTCTTTTCTGCCATTTCTTCTTTTTTCTTGTCATCATCATGCCTTGTTCCGTTTTGCTTGACAGCTGAAGTTTCTGTTTCTGTTGACTCAATGTGAGAGGACAGATTAAGTGCAGAATCACTTTCGTGACAAGTGACAGAGATCGGTGGCACCACAAACAAAGGCACAGTTGGAATTTCAAAAGACTGTGGCGTATCTGAAATGTGTCTGTTTGCACTTGCATCGTCCTCCTTGTCATCAGTGCACGAAACATTTATCACAGGAATTGATACAAAGTCCATCTGAGGGAGCTGTTTACTGCTTTTAGGAAATGGCTGCTCTCGCTCAAACATTTCTGTCTCATCATCTAATTGCGCAACTTCCTTTGTTTTCTCTGTTGGTAAGAGGTTATAATCATTCTGCATACCTTTCTGTGTGGGCAACAAACTTGAAGAATCACTCATGCTCTGTTGTTGGATTTTTACTGCTGACACATGAGTTGCATCATGTTTTTGCAAAATAGCAGACTCTGATTCTTGCTTGTTTAGTGCCAAAATACTTAGTGGCACAGTGTGTTCTTTTAGCTCAGGCTCCATTATTTCAATTTTTGGGATTACAAAATGTTCATTTGGGTTCACATCTGGCACAGTTGGTTTAGTATCTGGGGTGTCTTCAATAGTAGATATTTGGATTTGTGGAATATTCTCTGAGGGCCAACCCTGTTGTCTCTCACTGCTGTCTTGATGTGGAGCATTACTGTGTTCCTCCAAAACATTAGCATTACCTTCCTTGTTTTGTGTCACTGAAAGGCTGTTTGATTCATCAAACTCCTCTTCTTTCACTGGATTTATCTTTTCTGTCTCCTCTTCGAACTGTATGCTCTCATTCCTTGCTTCAGTGCCCTCAGCTTCGAAAATGTCTGGCTCTTGTGCTTTTAGATTTTTGCACGAATTAACTTCTTCTAAATCTTGCAATTCAATTCTGTCTTCACTATCTCTAAAACCTGAGTTTGAACTCTCCAGTGCGCTGACATTGTGGACTGTGCTTTCCTCTACTATAGAAGAACTGCATTCTTGCTGTATTTTTAGGTCACCCATCTCCAAACTCTCTGGGGCCGCAGTGGGCGGAAATCCTACATTCATTTCCTGAATCAGTGAAGTACTTTCAGTCGCTTCTTTTTCGTTATATCTCTCTACACTGTATGCTGCTACAGCAGACAGAGATGCAAGCACCTGATCTGGTGTTTTAGATTCACATGGCTCTATTCTCTCTTCCAGTGAAGATGTTGTTAATTCAGTCATTTCAGATCTGTTTATATCTGAGCACGGCTGTTTGTTTGATTTCACTTCTGCTTTCTCTTCCTCACATAACGTATTGGACAAACGACCCCCCTCTGTGTCTGGTTCACTTTCTTTGTCCATCTTATCAACACTCATCTCCTCATCTCGCAAAGTCCCAGTGGGTGCTTCTCCAAGGCTGGGGCTGTCTGAGATAACACTGTGGGGGGGAGTCCCGCTTTCTTCCAAACTAGTGAGGGTGGGTGTGGGGGAGGATTCCTCTTCACAAGGGGGTTGGGTCTGTGGTAAGACAGATATATCTTCCCTGGGTGAAGACTCATCTCTTGCAGCATGGTGATAAACTACCAGACAATCTGGCTTTTGCTGGCATATGGAAACTTCTGTGATAACTGAGTCTACCTGAGATTCAGCCTAATGGAAAGTAAACAAATAAAGCATTTTAGTACTTCCTTGCAGTGTTTGTCTTTCTCAATAAAGTCCATGAAACCCACATACCTGACACTGCTGGTTTTGATTCTTAGCCATGCAAAAATATTTGTTAGTGGTTAAGAGACCATATAGTACAACCTAGTGGAAAAAAACATTCAGTGTCATGTTGAAAATGTAAAGTATTTTTAAGAAGCTTGTTACAACAAACCTACTGCAGTGACCTTTGACAGTGTGTTACATTTTTAGACGTGTTTCTACCATAAATCAACAGAAGCATGAACACTGACAGAATATGACAAATGTAACATTGCAACGCAGTGTTATAGCCTTGAAAGAAAGGAATAGCTGTGAACAAAGTTGATCAGGCAGACAATAAATAGTTCAGAAAATAGGCAGAACAACTACAGTGAGTCAATATATTCTTGTGTTTTATGATCTGTCAGCTAATTTCAGCAACTGCTTTACATGTCACGTGCAAGGTAGCTGAAACCAAGTGTTTACACATGCAAGAGTCCAATAAAATGTTTAAATAACCCTAAACTTTAACAAACAGGGTTTATATTTTCTTACTAACTAACTAATATCTATTTTGTACTAACTTTTATGTATTATGCAAACAGTTAAACTGAGTTTAAAAGTGTACTCTTATGTGTGCCTCTTATGTTGAAACACAGACAGGGGAATTCCCACATGATTTACAAACACAAAGAACTTGCTGAGTGAGACTGAATGACAACTCAAACAAGTCATAACATGTTTGATTCACATAAACCTGCACACAATGGGATATTATAAAAAATCTTAATTATGATATTCCTGAAAAAAAATTACATTTGAGTATACATAAAGTATAAGTAAAGCTTCAAGCTTCATATAGAAGTGTTGTTGGGTTTCCCCCCTACTCTCCCCGTTTTTGCAGTTCACACCATTACAATTAATAATGAAGAGTAACGAAGGCACATGCCGCCCTCGTGACTACGTGTTCGGCCAGCAGGAACCGCCAAGAAAAAAAGAAGTTGCTGCTTTCGATGGAAAGGAACTGGTGTCACATTTAGTCTAAAAATGAAGCTGTGGTCTTCACTACACCTTGGTGCTATAGGTGTCACACTCACATGAGAAAACATTATTCAGATAAAAGGTCTGACTTCCTCCAACCAGTCATCCAGCAAGTCTCACATTATCACATCACCATAACAAAGGTACAAATGTAGTTCCACATTATGGATTTACAATTCATCTGCAGGTGCTATGTTTAAACGTAGCAGTTCCCTTTTCCACATGTCATTGTGCACCACGTTTTGGATGTTATTGCACAATGTAGAATTCAATACATATGCTGCATAAGTGCATTTCACCGAACAAAACAATTGATAAACGCATAACATATTTGGATTTCAATAAGTTATAGAATCTTATTGTCTATCGGCAATAACAGACGTTCAGTGGAATTTTGATTTTGATGGGTTAAGATAACCACATTACCTTTTGGAAATTATCACATATTATCACACAATCGTACAAATTTTTCCCAACTATCTCAAACAGGCAAATTAAAAAAAATGTGCAGAAACAGGAATAACCTTCTAATAACTCTAAGATTTTAGTGATTTTTTAAAATGTGCAACTAAAACCATATGTCTACAACTTCAAGTTTAGATTGGATTTTTGAAGTGTGTCTAACATTTAGCCATTAGTTGGCTTTCAATTTAAAATGGCCATATTTTTTAATTATTTTCATAAACTATTATAAAACTCACACAAACAAATGTCACTCTGGCACCAACAGAGACAATTTTTTCTTATTTTAAAAGAGTTTCAGTTCAAATTAATACTTCAAAGAAAAACATCAAACAAAAAAAAATTCAGTCTCACAGTCACATGTTCAAACTGAACTAAATCAGTGCATCCTAACATTATTGTTACTGTATGGGCGCTTACTGTACAGCCCGTTAATCATAGCATGATAATCCTAATACCCCACACACGACAGACATGAAACAATTCTCAAAACAGAAGTACTACCTTCTTCCCTCTTCTCTAGACTAGATGAGGAAGCGGTTTATTTTAAGAGATTGTGGGGTGGCAGGGGGGAGGAATGTGTCCAATGTGACAAGGCCCTCCTTTCATGCTCAGACCTGCGGCAGAACTCACTCTACTCCCGCTCATCCATACCACACGGCCCTCTGACATGCAAAGCCCTGTCTGTAACGTGAGAGCCGCCTCTGATATTCAGGTTTCATCACGATCTCTGACGCACTGTTGTCCCACTCATCATAGCCAACATCTGAGTTATTCTCCATCCTATTTTACAGTGTGCAGTGTGACACAAAACATCCCCCACCCCCACCTCTATTAGGTGAAAGTTGCCCCATCTTCCCACACTGTCTTGCGTTCTTGAATGATATCAATGCATTGAAACCACAGTCTCACATGGCTGACTCACTCCACCAGTCGCTGATTGCTGATATTATACTGTATGTTTAAAAGTGGTTGCATTGTCTGACTGTTCTACACTGCCCCACTATGAGTTGTTTCTTATCTACCACACTTACTACCAGCAGCCGTTCAAAGCCTAAACTGTGCCATAGTTGACATACTTCAGGCTTTGGCTCTGAAGTAGCTCATCTTGTACTATCTTGTCACACAAATGCAGTCTATATATAACTCTCAAGGGTGCAGCCAGCTGCCCTGCAAGACCCCTGTACGTACCTCAGTGAGAACTTGAAGCCCAGACAATGACATTTCTTCACCTGGACTGCTGCTCTCTGGGCTCACAGACACCTCCATAGCCACCACAGCATCATCAGCCTCCTTGGCGCTCAGCCCGGTAGACTCCTCTACGTTCTCAGGTGACAATATATGAGCTGGTGGCAGGTCTGTGTGTAGAATACTTTCATCATGCTTATGTTCATGTGGCTCCAGTGACGCTGACTGCTGCTCTATATCCATTGTTTCTGAAGGCTCCTTTGGTTTACCCATTTCCATAGGCACAACATCTTCTATCAGGGGCTTGCACTCTTGTTTATGCTCTGGTTGCAGCCGCAATGATGGTGGTGTTTGCGGTTGTGGAGGGAACGTTGAGGCATGCGAGTGGTCAAACTCTCTCTCCTCAAAGTGATCATGAGAGTCCTTCTTACTCTTACCAAAGAAGAAGTCTTTGACTGTGTGAAGCATAGAGGAGATGGAAGCCTGGATGTGGTGGTGGTCGTGATCCTTATGAACCTTGCTGTGATGTTTGACTTCTGAATCATGTTTTGTGGTGGGTACTGTGTGCGACATCACCAACGACCTTTCCCTTTCCTCCTCTCTCTCTGTGGCCAATTCATGTTCTCTCCTTTTCTCTCTCTCATACTCTTCCTCTAGTGCTTTTTCTTTTTCTTCTCTCTCTTTCCGTATCCTCTCTTGCTCTTTCTCTTTCTCTTTACTGGCATTTACAATAGGAATATCCATCTCTTTATGTTTCTCCCCTCTAGGTGAGTTGAGTTTCTCCTCAGCAGCCTGGGACTGGAGAGTCTCTGCCAGAAAGTGTGCCAAACTGATTCCGCCATCATAACAATTTTCCCCTCCATTCCCCATCATATGACTCCTACTGTTGCTGCTGCTACTGCTGTTAACACCGGCATCTACTCCATTTGAGATCTTTATTTTCTTTTTGGCCAAGGTTTTCTCGGATGGAGAAAGGTCACTGTCTTTGACTGTGTCCTTGTCTTCAGAACTAACTCCATTAGGCTCTGCAGAGGCTCCCAGTTGTTCCACAGCCTCAGGCTCCTTGACCACTGGGCTCTCCTCCGGCGGTGGGACGTGCCGCTTCCTCTGTGGACGTTCTGGGCTTCTCTGCGGTTTCTCTTTCTGCATGTTTTCTTTATCCTCCTTCTTGGGCTGGATTTCCAAATCGTTCTTCTTCTTCTCTGCTTTCTGCTTCAGCTTGGCAAAGAATCTCTGGTGAATCTTGTACTCGTTCATAGTGCCAACTTCCAAAACTCCCGAGCAGGAGACAATACCTTTGCTATTGCTGGCTGAAACCTGATAGATGGCTGCATCATCCAATGTGCAGCTGAAAACAAAAACACTTATTACACTCATTTCTCACATTGTAGGTACTCTGACAGCGTTATGACATTTACAACAACAACAAATAAAGCAAACAAACAAAGATACATTTCTAATCATTTATATTATTCTAACAAAGTTGTATTACATACTTGTAAATATGAAGGGTATGGGTTTTTCCATTACGACGAATTTCATATTTTGGGAGTCCACAGTATCGGTCCATTTCCATATCATCTTTATACCATTTCAGTTCTGGAGCTGGGTAACCTAAAGACATAGATAAACTTTAATGAACTGATTGCCTCTGGGTTACAAACAATCCACTCCGAAACACGCCACAAATCACTATGAAAGCACTATGAACATTTGTTACACTGGGAACATGTCCTAAGAGACAGTTTGCACTAAATACCCTTTTTATTACTGTTTAAAAGCGTTGGCATGTGTTTTAGGCTGTTGCATAATTTTTAGGATGTGTCACACAGGAACAGCTGCTGCTGTTGGATGGGCCCACCCATCCAATCTGCCTGCAGTCTATAACACAACATCTTGTAAAAACCAGTTTTAATATTATACGGCCTGATGCGTTTTTATGGAGCAGTTCAGGAAGAATAAAGCAGTTCATTCTGATGCCTTCCAAGTGAAATCTTGTTTTCAGATTAGTCACATCCTGTTTCTTTACACCACAACAATCTGAAAAGTTTCATTTACTCCAAGAAAGAACAAGCAAAGACATGCAAATGAAAAAGGCTGTTAAGAGCAGACCTACCTGATACCACACAGGTGAACTTCACATTACAGTTTTCTGACACTGCCTTTGATTTCAAGGTGGTCTCAAAGCAAGGCTGTATGTCCTCGGTCAGCTGAGCCATGACGCTGCACAACGTGCTCCTGGAAGTTAACGCTATTGCATTAGAAAGTCAATTTCTTGCTTTCAAATAGTAAACAGTTTTAACACTTGAGTATCATTTCAGGGACCTCTTCACCTCAGTACATTCAAATTGACTTGCTCAATTAAGAGGACAAGGTTGTTAATGTAAATTTTGGTAGTGTGAAAGTGACACGGGGACTTGTGAGATGTCAAGCAAAACAAAGGTGTCAATCCAACACTAAAACCGATGTTCATCACTAAAACTGAACTGAACACGAGACAAACTGGACACTTACATTTCAGTTCAAACGTTGGTAGGTTTAATTCTTAGGGTAAACCAGTTTTGTGGTTAAGATGTTAGTTGGGAGGAATGTTTTAAAAGTATGGATTACCTCGTTGGCCTGTAGTGAGAATACCTTGAATAGCTATTCAGAGAGGAGGCAAATGAAGGGACGTCGTGATTAATTAAGATCTGCGTATATGGAACCAACCTACATAAAATAGTTTAATAACTGCCCCCCTCTTTGATAAAAGGAGCACATTCTTATTCTTATTTTTTGAAGATCAGAAACAGAAACACGATTATCACTATCGATGTGATAAATGTGATTTGTGACCCACAATGTGATATGTTGAACAATGTGGTATCATTTACTCTTTCCAGGTAAATTAATTTAAGTATACAGAGACATTTCTGGTCATGTTTTGAGACTGTTACTTAATCTGCCTGACCCAGATGACCTTTCTTGACCACCATGCAATGTTTTTTTTGTGTGTTTTTTTTACACAAATCTGCTTCACAAGAAACAAAGACTTACATGCTCTGCATATACAGGGATTATAGATAAGGTTGTTTACCTGTTTTCAGGCCTAACATTCGAGAGGTAAGTATTGCGGCTTTCTGAGCGGCCATTGGAAGAGCTGCTGTCCTCCTCATTGAAGCTGCTTGTCCTCCCATTGCCAGAATAAGTGCGAGTCATTGGCCTTCTGGAAGTCATCGTCCACTGAAGCAATTCACAAAAATGTTTAAATCCGATATAAATGTATCACCCACAGTATAAAGCTACTTTGTGGTCACGTCCAAAGCTTGTTCAAGGTTCAAAGCTCAGATTTAATAGTGTTATCCATGTAAAAGCCCCTGGGGAAGAAAAAAAAAGGCTTCAGAATGACAACAAAACCTGTTGTAAGTCAATCAGACAAAGTATAAGATACACTCTGGGTTATTTGCTTGTACAAAACGCAAAGCCTCAATGCTCTTTCTTTCTAACCAAGCAAAGTACTTACATTGGAGCAAGTTATAAATAGGCTCAGCTATCAGGTTGTGGAAAGGCTGTTAGTGGTCAAGCACAAACCTTAGATAAGTTATACACTTGTACGTGCTAGGAATATAATTCAGGTGTTTCTCGGCCTTCTTAAAACCTGGTAAATCTTCCAACTTACCACTGAGATGTTGTCAGTGTTGCTTTAGAGCCAGAGTCTGTGAAGAAAGTCTCTGTAACTGCCTATCATAGACACGCATGTGTTGCCAGCAGGGGCCTATTTATAGCAGCCCTACAAATAGGTGCAAGAGCACATCAGAATTTCTGAAACTAGACTTTAAACTTAGCAAAGAAATTTAAAAACTAAACTGAATTCATAGTAACAGCTAATCATTTAAACCAGAATACATTCCTAAAAAGCTGCCATTTAATCAGTGGTCACACTGTTAAATATGCTCTGCTTTGTTTTGATCTGTCCTAATAAGTTGAAAAAGAGTGTCCCATCTTAGTGTGAAGCTGTAGTGGATTGGATGTGGACTTGCAAAACATGTCTGTCTAATATGGTTTATGATGACAACCAATGGTTTATGTCCGCTTTGCTCAAGAGTTGCTTAAGGACAGCCCCCCTGACTTTGTATTGCAACACATGGTCAAAACATAGAGACCCCCTTGCTCACATTTCAATATCAATGAGACAAAAACAGGCTCAGCTGACAAAATCTATACTTTGATTTAACGAGGTGAGGGTATTTTCAAATACTGATTTATTTGTTATGTTATAGTTTTCGATTGGTCTCATTTATTTGTTATGGTTTTAGCTCGTTCTTAAATTGTTTTAAGGTGATAGTTTTTTACTAGGATGAATTGTTTTATACAACTGGATTTAAAATTGTATTCATGATTTCATAATACCATTTCTATCTAATACTGGTTTGTCTGCAAGTCACTGTTGTATACTGGCACTCTCAACTCTGAAAATTAGATTTCAGGCTTACTTGGTCGTTAAAACTTTATTTAAACCTAATACCTTTTTGTAAAAATGCCTTACACCTAGCTCTATGTCTGCAATATGAAAGGGACGCTAACAATAATACATATTCAATAATATACTTAAATGTATACAAAAACTAACAGACATTAACAAACATATTATTTGAATATAGTTTATTTTAAATGATTTTCTAAATGGTCAACAAAGGATAATAAACTCTTTAAAAGGACTGGCAGATTATATATTTAAAGACATAACATATTATGCTGTTTAAAAAGCCAAAACAACCAAAACACAAAGTTAGCCGTACTCGCACCCTGCCCCCTACCTACTCATTCAATCCCAAACATGTCATTAACTCACAGAACATTTGACATTATAACAGAACATTACTGCAGGGTCGCTACAGTATAGCATTTTTACCCTTCTACAATGAGATACTTTTAAAATATTTTACACGCATCTGAACATACAGTATAAAGGTCATTTGCTATACTGTTGGGCAATTCGTGAGAGTGAAAGGTTGTTTTCTGTGTAAACAAGCCAAGAATAGAAGATTTAGAAGAATATTGTGATGATGGTTTGTATTTGATCTTTTTGTCATTAATATAACACAAAGCAGACTGAATCTACATTAGCCTATGATTTCTCAGTCTCAGTGAAAACGCAGTGTGAGTTTCAAAAACACATTTTTGTCCCTAAAATCAACCCCAGCCTGCGATTGTACAGTACCTGAAAAGAGGCCAGATTGCTCATTACCGTAATGTCACGAAAAGTGGTTCTACCGGCCTCTCCCTTACATTCTTCCTAAAGACTTATCCGGCGTTAATTGTTTTTTTTTTTTTTTAGCTGTTTTTGAATTCAAAACATACTGTTATTTTCAAATCAAAATCAATATAGGCTATATATTGTTCAGCATACCATAGGTGAAAGGCTTTTTATGTTTTATTAGATGCTCCCATATTATGGGCTGGTCGGTAATATGTGCGGGTAAGCAGTCTCGTTCCGGGAAAGGGAAGAGTTTGCTCAATAAAATACAAGTTATGAACATTGAGAGGAAGAAAACATACTCAGTGCGACAGAGTCAACTGGTACGAGGCTGACGGCAGGTATACATACAACATGTGTATTTAATGGAAGTTTTACACTTTGTCATGTATATATTAGGACATTTCTAATTGAATCTACAGCATTGTTAACTGCGGTGTACATTAAAGGCTTTACTAGAAACGAGAAGTTAGCTGAGATTAGACATGAAGTTTACTGCGATTTCCTGTTTTTTAATAATTGCTTCGTTTTCGTGGTTTTTCGATTTGGGCCGGTACAATAGGGAGTCCACTCAGAAATATGAATGTTAAACTTTGATTTAACTTCCCACAGTCTGGTGTAAGAAGAAGCAGAAAATGCACTGATGACTGGATCCCGACCCAAACCCTGTCGAATAATGATCAGCGGTATGTTATATCTCACACACCACCTTCCAAATATGCTCTGATTTTTCTAAAGAAAACCAAGTGTGATTTTTCTCCCTGGATCTGTTTCAGAAATTGTCATAGTGCGACATCCTGTCTCTGTGTGTGTGCCTGTGAACCATAAGGTGACTCTGAGCGTCCGTGCTGAGGGCACAGGCATCCTCAACTACCAGTGGTTCACTGATGATGAACAGGAGGTATGTGGATTTTACTTCACTGTGTGTTACTGTGTGTATGAGCTCATAATGGACATTTTTATTCTGGTGTACTGAACAGGTGGGTGTCTTCTCATCAGTGAAACCACCCATTTAAATAAAGGATTAACCAGCTACTTAAAATAACAACTTAATAACAACGTAAAAATGTAAAAATGTTATATGGAGAAGATCTTTGATACAGTCTTGCACAGATTTAAAGCTTGGTTATAATAATAATAATTATTATGTTTTGTTTTCAAGGTGTGTGGTGGCACTGAAGCAGACCTGACCATCAGAGCTAAAAAAACTCAGCTCTATGTGTGCCGAGTGAATGACCACTTCTGTAACTGCGTGTTCAGCGAGTGGGTTAAAGTCAAGGTGTTGGACATTGATAAGTCAGGTATGCATTGTTCTGTTTTCATGTTGATTTATACTGTAGTAGTGTGGTGGTTGTTTTTCATACTTGCAGCATGGCCCCAGCCTGTCAGCTGGTAATTAATCAGTTTTGTGCCTTTTGCTAGTTTATTGCTGTGGGTTTGAATCTCTCTCTCTCTCTGTCTCTCTTAAAATATCACCAGGTTTGCCAGTGCACTGGCAGGGGGAACCACACATTGCTGTCAACCCAAAACCCCAGACAGTCCGAGAAGGTAAAAAAGTCACTCTCCGTTGCACTGCCTTTGGCATCCCCACTCCACGCTATCAGTGGTACAGAAATGGACAGCCGCTGCTGGACAAGACTGGTGACACTCTGCAGGTAAGGAAGTGTTTACAAACCTCAGTGATGGGTGCCTGTGTAAAGAACACAGAATCATATTTACTCTGGATGATGCACCCTTCACCAAACATGTGATTCATTTTGAAAATGTGGTTAATATTTTGCCAAGTTTTGATTTATGGTTGAGTAATCTTACATGTGCGGGAATAGCCAGAAAGACAAACAGTGGTTGGAAGATAATTTATTGTTGTATGTGCAGATTGACCATGCAACAGCTGAACACGGAGGATCATACCTGTGCTCCATATCTAACGTGCTGGAAGAGAGATGGACTGAACCAGTTGATGTTGACATTGGTAAGTCATAACTGAAACTTTTATCAACTTGGTGAAAGTCTTTCCCCAATTGTATAATTAACCCCCCCCCCATTTCGAAAAAAGATAACTGTGATGATAAAACTTTTTGTTACACTGCTTTCATTCCACTGATTTAGCACTTAGGCTTTAAGTTGTTTCCATTATGCTGGAGGTACTTTCCCATTTCTACAGAGTAAAAAGGAAGTTGTTAGACTCCAAATACTACTTGATTCGTGCCCTTCACACACACAACAGGAAAATGATACAAAGTGAAACTAGAGGTACTGACCCGCATGTATGCCACCAACCAGTCAAGTCAATGTCTTTCCAGACTCATATAATAGTGAATACTTGGAAAGAATTATATAAAAGATATAAAGTGTATTTTTTGGCTAAAGTACTTAAGGAAGTTATCACTATATATATATATATACAAGTGTATTAACAGTAACACATCTACTTCATTACTATGTAAAGATGATTTTTTATATAGCGTATAGCTATTAAAAAAATTGGTATTTTTAGATGTGAAGCCTCTCTATGAGCTGTAGATGAAACTCGATCACAGAGTCATGATTAGCTGGGTGTGCTGCAATACATTTGCAGTCATGTGATTCCAATGACGAAATTCAGACAGAGGCAGTAAGTGAAAGGCAGAATGCATGAGATGAAAGGCCATGCTGTGCTAGTCATTGTTTACTCATTGTTTCGTCCCAGTCAACATGTGTGAAATCTGGAATCGCCCAGTTCATTCTTAAATTATGGCAAAAAAAATATTTTTAATCATTGTTCGTATCCCATTAAACATCTGTGTGAAATACTGTGTGTACAGTGCAAATCATAAAAATACTGTATGTGCCCTGTGGACTGAACCAGAGTACTTCAGATTAGATGTCGAACTAAAGATTATGTGCTTCTCTCTTTTTTTTAATCCTCTAGTGCAAATGGATCAGCTTCCTCCTGCAGTACTCACAGGTACAGTTTTTTATGAAGAAACTTTGTGTCAATGCATGCTACTTTAAGTGTGCTAGAGAGCAAAACTACCATGGTATGTCTTTGAATTTTCTTGTGTTTTTTAATCCAAATTCTACTTTGACTTTGCTTTAGCCACTGATAAAGTTGCCCTCCTTATTGGCAACCTGAATTACTCCAACCACCCTGACTTGATGGCCCCCATTATGGACGTACATGAGCTGGCCAACCTCCTGCAGCAGCTTGGTTTCAGAGTGGTTTCGCTGCTGGATCTCACCAGGGATGAGATGCTGGCCGCTATTGACAAGTTTACTCAGCTCCTTGACAGAGGAGTTTATGGTGAGTATAATTTGCCGATACAAAGTTTCCTTTTCTGAAATAGCTACGTTTGTCAGTTGATTCATAATTTCAACTGCACTCCTTGGAAAAAAGCTGACAAAGTAATTTGAAGGATCTGAAATATAACATCGTAACTTCCTTTGTCGTGTTTTGTGTTTGTTGTCTGTGTACTTGTCATCAGAAATGCTCCCATGGGTATAGTATCTTGGTTTACACATATGTGTGGCTGAGTGGGCAGATCAGTGGTAAAAAGAAGCTTAAGTGATGTTCACAGCTCTGTATACTATGTATGGCAGTTTTTGAATACCTGTAACACTTTGAGAGGGTAGATTTACATAGTATTTGTAGAGGTTAAAGGACAAACAGTTATCTAAACTTAAGTCTCTCTGCGTGTGATAATCAGTTATATAGTCTTAAAAAAGAAAGTTGGCAATGTAGTCAATGAAA